TACTACTACTACTGCTACTACTAAGGAGAGCAACAAGAGCATCGTCAGCAAGCAGACCAACAACGCCAACCAACAGCAAGTAAGCAAGTCATAGCGCGAACAGGCAAGCAGGGTAGCCAGCAACAGTGTGCGACATGCCGGGAAATAAACGCTGCAAACAAGTGCCGGGAGCGATAAGTAGTCGGGTTCGTCCCCTTCTGCAGTCGGCATCTGCGTAAAGCATGTAGTTTGCTCGACCCCCCGCGATGAGTAGGCGCGAACACGAACGAGCTGTTTGTCTTGGGATCTGCTTCTAAGGAGTGTCTACTACTTGAAAAAAGTCGAGAAAAGCATTCTGACCGTCGTGGCCTCAATGCGTCTGCTTCGATGTGCGCCACGAATTTCCGCTGTTTCAGGTGGAGGTCCGGAGCAGGGTGAAGCAAGAACCGATGCCAGAAGCACGGAGTGTGAGATCCCATGACGAAAGATGCCGAACGCTGTGACTGAGGCCCCTTCTTCGCTTCTTGCACAAGGCCCAAGCGCTCAACCCCAACCCCGACTGAGTGTCCCTTTGGATAGAACCTGCAAAAGTGGTCACTCGTGTGGGGTAGGCCGTCTATGTGGCTGACGAAGACGACGTCGAGCGGGTCATGACTTTGCCCGACTGGGAAAAAGCGGCCTTCGCTGCTCCTCCGGAGCTAACGGTGCGGGGCCGGCCTCCGCGAGGGGAGCTCTTCGGCAGGGAACAGATCATCTTTGTTCACGGCAAGGTAGAAGGTGCCATGGGCCTACCATCAGCTGACGAGAACAGCTTCTCAGATCCCTACTGTGTCGTGGAGGCTCTGTCCCGTGGGACCCAGAGGCTTTTTGTGCACCGAACTCGCGTGATTCCCAAGACGCTTTGTCCCGAATGGAACGAGGCCTTCTATTTCGCTTGCCCGAAGGACTTTGAGCTAAACCGGCTAATGTTTAGTATCTTCGACCGGGATGAGACGATGATCGCCATGATCGGGGCTGGCATTGATCCGCTTGACCAGGATGAGTTTTTGGGGCGTGCAAGCATCGATATTTCGTATTTGCGAAATGGCGACATGCTGATGGAAGAGCTTCCGGTATCTGGCTCAGTCATCGGTGCTAAGGTCAAGACAACCGCAGGGTTTCGTCGAGTACCCACCATTTCCATTGAAGTTGGCGTCCAGCGCCGCATCAAGCCCATGTATGGGGTGGCTCCCGAAGACCACTCGGCCGTGATCCCGCGCCGAACCCATCGAGTTAGCCGGCAGCCTGGGAACTTTGGCTTCTCTGACACGTCCCAGTTTGTGGATGAGATCTCCGAGGCGGAGCGCACAGCCACGCAGGTCATGGAGGCCAACAACACGGGTCGGCTCTTGAAGGGCTCACACATGGGCATGCCGCCCAATTGGATCTCCCTGCCCGAAGCCATCGATACCTGGGAGTTGCCTCCTCCTGAGGAGCCCGTCCCAGACTTGGAGGCAGAGATGAGGAAACATGCAGAAAAGGCAGCGCGTGCTGGGCAAATCCCCGAAGGCTTCGACTTCACGCATGAGCCCCCGCCAAGGGCTGCGCGGAGTTTGCCGATGCTCCATTCGAGGTTCGCCCAGCCAAAGGCGCTCTTCCGGCGCTTAGCGAAGGAGCGAAAAGCAGGCAAGCCCGGAAGCACTGCCATCCAGCAAGGTTTCAATGCGAGATCAAAGCTGAATATTGTGCAAAGTCTGAAGGGCTTGTGGTACAAACCAACTCCAGAAACGCTTGTGCACCGGCGCCTTGAGGAGAACGGCGGCTTGGCAAGATACAACAGGTAGTTAGCGGAGGCCATGTCATGAAGCAGGGACATGTATGATGCTATCTACTGCGCCCAGGTGACGACAACAGCTCTGCAGGAAGCCCCACATCACACGACTGGGTGCTGCGCTAGTTGGATAGTGTTTGCCCTGTGCTCTGGAAATAAGTTTTTTCATTCCTCTTCCCAAGGGATTGGATTGTTCGGTTCCCGCATGCTCTCAAAGAGAGGTGCCTGAGTAGGTGGAGTAGGTCAGGTTGGTTTGACGGAGTCAGCCTGAATGCCTTTGCAAGCCGAGAATTTATTCCTCCTGTGCTACAAGGCCCATGCATGTTTGCCTCAAGAGGCTGGCTGCAAACGCCCGGCCCTCCAGGAATCGGGGGAGAAAAACCAGAGTGCAGTTCTCGAGACCACAAAACCCATCCGGTGAGCTGAAGGAGGTATAGGAGGTCTGGGTTAGCCGGGGGTCAGCGTTCTTCAGAGTTGCGAGTCGGGGAGGCTCAGGGATGCTCGCCGTGTTCTTCTCTTCGGAGTTCACGTGTGGATCCATTGTCGCAGCAGCTGCGTAGATGTTTATTCGCAGATGCCGTTGGCATGATGGGATGATTCTCCATCTGCCAGCCTCTCGTTCTCCAGCTAGCATCAGATGCTGTCCACTCCACAAGCCATACTGCGCTAGCTTGCCAGGTGTCCTTACATCTTCATAGAAGGCAGTGTATCTAGAATCTAGCCGAAAACCGGCATGAACTTGGATGAACTTGCTGGTCCCCTGGCAAGATATGGAGGGTCGCGGCCGATGCCTTGCGCCCAAGTATCAAAGATGCAGTACGCCGATCCGGGATTTTGGGATTCGTGGCAAGAAAGTTGCCTCTGAGGGAGGTGCTGCAATTGACAGTATTGCATATGATTTGCATACTTCAAGTTGCTTGCAGACCTAAGGATACTCGGTTCAAAGATGCCGAAGGCCTTTTCGATTGGTATGCTACGTATGAAGAGCTGAGTGATGCCTTTGAGCAGTTCTGCCCTGCAAGTGCCGTTGGTGATCAAGGACTCCTGGTTGTGGGTTGTGGGAATTCATCTTTGTCCTCAGACCTTCATGCTGCTGGCTATTCCAACATCACGAATATCGATGTGTCTGCTCCTGCTGTCGAGAAAATGCAGGGTCAGTTTGAAGCCCTGCCAATGCAGTGGATGGTAATGGATGCAACGTCCATGAGCTTTCCGTCCAACTCCTTCGGCGTCAGTGTCGACAAAGGTACGCTGGACACGATGATGAGCTCTTACGCAGAGGATCTTGCTGGAGCCATGTGCAGGGAGGTGTGGCGGGTGTTGCAGCCCGGGGGCATCTTCATCCTGGTGTCCCACAGCGGCAAGCGACTGCCCATCCTCCGATCTGCGGGGACGTGGCGTCTGTTGGAGCAGAGGCGCTGCCGCCTCTCCCCGCAGGCCACGCTGATCAACGTGCTGCGGTCCAAGCTTCCCCCAGAGGGGAAGCTGGTGGATGCGTTTCGGGACCCGCAGCTTCTACAGCAAGCGAGCTCGGAAGCAAAAGCGGCCCTGAAGCGTATGGCCTTCATCGATGCCTTCCGCCTCTTCAAAGCCAGGACCTGCGAAGTTACCTGAATTCATGATTTCATGCCGATCGTGCCGCGAGGAAGAGAGCTCAGGCAGGGCTCGAAGAGGGGCATGAAGCTGACGAGGATCCACAGGAGTGTGGCCTTCGGCTTCTTCCTTGTTGTGTGCTGAAAAGGGACACATTTTCCTATTTTTGTCCTGGAGGAGCTTCCGGGCGAGGAGGACTTGGCGACCGGGGCTGCCGGAGAGTCGCGCGACCCTCGCCTACAGCCCTTCTGCTTCTCGGCTTCTTCCGTGGCCCCCGTCAGCTGTACGCTCCCGGTCCTATTGCTTTTGGATGTGCCCGAGGCTGGATTTACGTGCTGCGCAAGGTCTCGAGCTAGTCGAGCGCACTCAAAAAGCATCCCGGGAACAGCACATATGAGCGACAGGTGTTATTGCGGCCTCTTGGGTCAGTCAGTTCTACAGGAGGACACAGTTGATTTTTGTGGGGAACCCCGATACCCTGTCTCAGATTCCCTACACTTCATGTTGTATCTTGAGTTTTATGCTTGTTTGCTCTTTTTTGACGTTCGCTGATTGTTGAAGTATGTTTTGTTGCACATTGGGTATGGGCACTGCTTTCATTGATTCCTATTGGGTTGTGTACAAGAACCTGTCAGAAGAAGTCCAACCGCAGAAATCATGTGAATGTTACCAGGGCAAAGAGGTTCTGAGTCGCGATTATCACCTGTATGCATCGCTGCATGCGGCCTCGCCAGGCCTTGCTCCTGTGTCTGCAGTCCTGGCTCGGAGTATTTGTCTGGCTTGTTTCCGTTTTGCCGGTGCTACGATGCACGTTTCATGCCCAGCGTGAAGAGGCGCAGGCGCACGGGGGGGGGGGCCAAAGGGAAATTCTGAGCGACTCTTTGGGTCCGCTGGGAGGTCTTCGTCGCAGGAGCTCCTTGGCTTGCCCATCGAAGAAGCCCTCCAGGCGAGGATTTCTCTCCCGTCCCAGCTGTCTGCTCTTTTCTGGGTCTAGGTTTGTTTGTTGGGGATTGCTTTGGCCTGTTTCTGGGTATTTTTGTTTGGTTTTCGGTTGATCCATTTACAAAACTTGCAAGCGTCACAGGGATGGCGACAACTGAGGCGGAATCAGAGGTCTTTTCGGGTGAATCTTTATGCTTTTCGGCCTACTGGTCTTCGGCTATCGTTCCGTCACTCTGTAAATTCGACGGGCCGACCGCCGGCCCCGCCAGTCTACCCGGTTTCCTTCCGTGCCAGTTCAGGCTCTGGGCGTCTCGGCTTTGTGGCTTCACGTTCTTGATGGCACTATGTTCTTTAACTCCAAAAAGAAAGCGAAAGAGCTGGGCCTCTAGGACGGGCTTTGCAAGGCCTCATACGAGTTATGTGCTTGACTTGAAATCGCAAATGGCGAAATAGCGTTCTTGACGGTACGACGTTCACTAAAGCACGTTCACAGGGCTTAAGAAAACGAGCGGGGTTGGGGGGCAGACCCCCCAATTTGCTAACGCAATGCCAACGGGACTGGCGGTTCATCACATCTTGAACACCCGCCTTTGTTTGACGATTCGGTTCAGCATATATGTTACACATGCCACCGCATTTGGCGATTCCGGTTCATCATGTATCCTAAACCGCCACCTCACTTGGCGATTCCGGTTCTTAAACACGCCTCCTCTTTTGGCGATATCGGTTCATCATACATGTTAAACATGCCCCCACATTTGGCGATTCCGGTTCATCACATATCCTAAACCCCCACCTGATTTGGCGATTCCGATTCATCATATATCTTAAACAGGCCCCCTCATGTGGGGATTCCGCTTCATCATATATACATGTGAAACACACCTTTCATTTGGCGATTCCGGCTCACCCTGTATCTTAAACACGCCCCCTCATGTGGGGATTCCGGTTCGCTATGTCGTAAACATGCCACATTTGGCGACAACAGTTCATCATAGTTCTTAAACATGCCCCCTCATCCTCTTCATCATATTTACATGTGACACACACACCCCTCTTTTGGCGATTCCGGCTCACCATGTATCTTAAGCACGCCCCCTCATGTGGCGGTTCCGTTTCGCCTTATATCTTAAACACGCCGCCCCCTCATTTGGTGAGTCGGTTCATCATATCTATCCTGAACACCGACTGACTGACTGACTGACTGGCGGGCTCGCGGATCGGCGGACGACTGACCGGCTGACTTCCACTGACCGACTGACTCGGTGCTTGAAGCCATTCAGGCGAAAACCAAAAATATATACAAGAAACAACAACAAAAAATACCAAAAACGAACACCCACTCTGTTGCAGCATTCCCCAACTCCAGGCAGCGGCGTTGGGGCTCTTTGATCCTCTGGAGACCACCCGTGCTATGTGCTGTGCGACACTGGCCGAGCTCCTCAGGCGACGCCTCTGGCTTGGGCTGTGAGGGTACGGAGGTCATGTCCATGTGATGTCCCAGTTTGTCCGGCACTGCGCCAGGAATGCGGGGCCGGATGCAGAGCTTGGAACAGTCGGACAGGACATGTGACATGGCCGCGTTCGCATGTGCTTCTGACCAGCGAAAGAGAAATTGCGGCGAGGAGGTGCTGCGGCACGTCCTGGCACAAGTCGCCTCCAATTCCGGGGTGGTGCGCCTTGCTGCGATGGAGGTGCTGCAGCACTTCCCTCGCTGGGACACGGAGGCCTGCATTGCTCTTGATGCTCGTGCCTGGGCGCTTGAGAACCGGGTACCTATTGAAAGGTGTTGAACAAGGCCGTTCTGCCCTCAGCTTTCCGCCGCAGCCTGGTCTGGCCTCTCTTTGAGCTCCAAGAGGTGAAGCTGCCGATATTTCGGAAGGTTCCAACTGAGGAGGTCCTCTGCAGCCTTGGCCTTGGCAGCCTTTTTCCGTTGATTCTGCAGGAGAATCCCTCTGCATCGGGCGGGAAGAGCTCCCAAAAGGATGAGATCTGGCCGCTCGGCTTGGGACAGTAGGCTGTGCCAGGTTGCGTGTGCAGCCGCAGGCACGGAGCGCTCTTCTTTGCCCTTGATGACGAAGAGCCGATGATCCGCGCACGTGCGCTCCACATAATTCGAGTTGCCCCTTCGTCTGCAAGGAGTGCAAGGAGTGGTATAGGCCCGTCGCCGCCTTGCAAAGTTGTTGCATCCTGCGACCTGAGCCCTGAGGAGATGTGTCAACGACGGGCCTCGGAAGAGGCGGAAGCTTCCCGGTTCCCCCCGTATTCAGCTCCGACTCCGCTCCGGGCTGTGCACACCCGCGCCCTGCCCCCGTTGTTGATGCCTGTTGATGCGTTGAAGCGGGCCTTGCTAGCGAATTCAGCGTTGGCCGTCGGCTTAGCCGCAGACGACTTCTATCTGCAGCGGGGCAGTGCAAGTGCGGCGGCTCGCAGCAAACTCCGTACTAACGATGGCTACCTTGGGGCCTACAGCGACGAGGCATGGGGGCTAGACGGCGGATGTCAGCAAATATATCGACACCCAGACGTTCCTGAACGCGGCGCACGAGGGTGACTTCTCTTTCGGCACCACGCATCGACCGCCATCGACCGCAGCAAAAGTCAAGGCCGCAACGGCGGCTGCGGCATTGCCACCTCCACAGTCCCGGCCTGCCTCTTCGACACCGTTTTGGCCTGGCACGTTCGCGCTGCCATGTCCGTTTGGGGGTCAGTGGCATGTGGTGGGAACAGTGGCAACGAACCCACGGGGTCTGTCCGTGTTGCTTGGCAACGTCAACCTCTAGAAGCTTCAGGGTGGCGGCTATATCCGTGAAGCGTTGGTAGTCATGCAAGAGCTTAATGCCAAGGCGCATGATTAACTCCACCCTTGCAAGACCGACCCTTCTTGTTTACATGGCGACCTCCTTGCATGCGTGGGGCGCAGCAACACGCTACTCGGATGGCCAGCTTGTGTGCAGTATGCCACTATCCTTCGGGCACGGCTGGCCATGCAACGCACCGTGGAAAGTGTGTGGACCCAAACCCTGCGCCCACCATTAACAAGCCCACATGACCCCCCACACTGGCCCACACAAGCAGACTTGAGACGCAGTCCGCCTCCTCCCAGCTGAGTTCAGCTAGTTGTGCTCGTCTTGTACTTTTTGCAAGGGACCGCATTCATGCGGGGCGAGCAAGTCGCACTCCCTCACGCTTTGGGCTGCGGGATGTGATACTTGTTTCCCATGTGAGCCTCTTTGACTCTCAGACCTGCAAGTGACTCACGACGCCACCCTGTCATGCAGGTGCCAGAATTCAAAGGGTTCTTTCAGCGCCTCGCGGCGGTAGCTGCACTGTGCCTGCAAGACACTAGCGCGGGGGACTTACTGGCTGAAATGTCTTGTGCGGTGTTGCGGAGACCATCGGTCCGTTAGGAGATGGTACGTCAAGAGGCCACAGTCGATCTCTCAGCCCGAATAGGGCAAGGGCCACCCGATTACGTTCCTTTTTCAATTCACGTGCTGCCTAAGGCTCTTCTGATGGAGATCATGTCAGTGAGATCAGTCGGCCTGGCAAGGCAATTAGTCGACAAGGCACGATGACTAGGAGCCATGCGATGCATCTCGTTCACCGTTACCATGCGATGGAGGCCAGCGCTCCGCTTTTGACGCATGTTCTGCAAGCTTTTCCACGAGATCCAGTAGCAGCAGGTTGGTTGCAATCCATTACAGCTGTGGTAGCAGGGGCCACGGGGGTTTCGCCACTGGCCGCCACTGGTAACTGAGGTATTGGGTGTCTTGGAGAAGGCCCGCTTCGCTGACCTCCAAGCGCTCTACGACGCGGTCCTCTGGATTCTCAACGTCGAGCTGCCGCAGGCCTGTGGCACTGTAATGCGGCTTGGCCTGCCCTTTGCTGGCTCCACCTGCCTCCGAGGGCCTGGACTCGCTGGACTTGGAGCCCGTCGCCTTTCGCTTGGCTGAGGAGCTGGAGCGGCTGGAGGCTGCTCCTCTGTTGGCGCAGCCGACTGGTGGCTTGTGTCGAACTTTTTGCTGCAGGCCATGCCGGAGGTGTACAAAAAGGCCAAGAAGACCCTGATGATGGATTCCGCTGCCCAGCCGGGTGTCAGGCAGAGCTGGTGAGAGTGCTGCACTACCACACCAGAACATGAAACTAGCAAAGCTGTTTTCCTCGTACTCACTGCATGTGGATCGAGTTCGAAAGCAACCGAGCAGGTTTGGTGAGACTCCCGCACCCGGGCTACAAGATGCAAAGCCTCGGGTGTCAGGGCTTGCGCCAAAAAGCAGGTGCAAGGAGATCGAAACAAAACAGGAGGTTGGGTGAAGAAGTCCGAAGCCGCACGGCATGGTATCCTCTGCGTGCTCTCGCACGCCGGGGTTTCGGGAGTCGAGCCCAGGCACAAAACGGGTTCCTGAGTTTTTCTCTTGTAAGGTCGCTCCACCGGCAAGTCAACAGGCTGCTCCCCCTTCCGGGGTGCTAGCATGTGGCAAGGACTACGTCACTGCGTGTAGCAGCGACTATGATTCCCTGCTGCCTGTGTCCATGCCCTCCATGCAAATGCACCATGGTACACTCGTACAGTTCATCTCGGCTTCTGAGCACGCTCGGCCGGGCACGAAAACGCCGTTCATCGGCAAGCTCATCCGCAGTTTTTCCATCGGCACGCTCAGTTTCGCAGCGCTCCGAGGTGTTTGGTGGGATCCGGGAACTGCGCTTTGGTGGGTTGTCAGGCTGTTGTCAAGCATAAGATCAATTTGTGCAGGCAGGCAAACTCAAACAAGGGGTCAAATGGCGAAAATCACTACTGGCCTGAGGACATCTGCCTCACGTTGTGAAGTTTTCCGGATGTCCATCGTTCGGGAAAGCGCCCCATGAATCACAGAACGAACTTCCGTATCCTTCGTAAGCACTGTACGGAAGGCTCCTCACGTCAACCGTGCTCTATGGCTCCGATCCAATAGCTCCTGCAGGCGGATATCGCTTGAAAAGTAGAGCGAGCTGAATGGACTGCTTTTCAGGCATCGCGGTGGGCCTCTCCCAGGGGAGGGGATCCACTCAGATGGAAAGGTCGCCTCCTCGTGTCCGAGTCCTCGTCCTACCTGGGCACGGCTTGGGGCGCTTTTGAGGTTGCGGGTGCTGGTGGATCAGGTTTCGCTGAGGCAGCTATGCAATGCTTCGCATCCGTCGCACCGCTTTCACTTGGCCCTTTGAGGAGCCCGGGAGCTGCCGAGCACCTGCGAGGTGACGATGCGCTTTCTCCCAGGACAAGGGAGCAAGGGAAGCTGGGCTGAGGGGGCTGAGGTCCGTAGGTCGCCCTGCGCCAGAGGATCTCGGAGTCGCCGAGTGAGTCCACGCCCGCAACCCAAATCGTGGTGCTACTTTCTGCTGTTGCGAAACGAAATCGGGGTCTGGTAGCAGGTCCTCTGGACCCGACTCTCTCAGGTTGACTTACTGGATCCAGTCGCTGGAATGGCACTGGGACGTTGTTGCCACCGGGCTGACAGAGGCGAGCACGGAAACAACTCCCTGAGCATGAGACATGTCTCTCGGAGGCACCGTGCTCCGACCGACTGCGTGTGGCTGCTTCGCGGATGAGTGCCGGCCTGAGGCTGACCCTCAGCGGGAGAAGATCCATGGGCATGTCCTATAGGATGCGTGCGAGATAAGAGCCAGTGCGTGGCGTGTAAGGGCTGCAGCTGCGGTAAAGCCCGTAAGGATTGCTTCCCGAGGTCAGCTCAAGCAGCACTTGTCGCATGCCGCTGCTGAGGTCAGGATCTTGGGCTTGGGTTTTTTCCGGTTCAGAAAATCGGGAGAAGAGGGCGGGAAGAAGCCCCGGGCATCTTCTCCCAGAGGCAAATATGTTCTTCGTGCTGTCCCGGCTAGTTAAGAGGGGGGGTGGGTCACGAGCAGGACAGCACAAGGGAACTGCGAGGCGCAAAACAACTATCAGCGTTCAGGTGTCGCTCTCGCAGCAAGGCATGGAACTTCAATGATGCAGGCTTCTTATGAACATGAAAGAACGGAGAAGCACTAAAATAACAACCTGCGTAGAAGGAGCCAAGAAGAGAACTAGCAGAAGTACTTTTGTATCACTGTCAGTTGCGCTGCGAAGGCTGGCTCTGACGAGGACGCCTCCGGTGGCTTGGATCTTTCTCTTCTCGCTTGGCCAATCTCTCTGACTGCTGAGTGGTTGTCGTTGCTGATAAAGAGTCGCAGTTCTGCTACCTGCTGTTAGTATCGTCATTCTCGTCATAGGTTTTTTGTAGGTAGGTTCGTTCGTACTATGATGAAGCATGATGAGACCGCTGTTGTTGTCGTAAGTTAGCAACATTGCCACAGCCACGACTACTGTTTCTGTTGTCACGTCTGTTGTTGCTGATAAAGAAGAGGCTTGACAATAGTCAATAGTTGTAGCCATGGCAATCTTGATCAGTAAAGGAAAGGGCCGGAAACACAAATGTAACATGCGTGCAAAAGTTGTCATCCTCATGATGCCAGAATGGGCATCTGGGCTTGATCTTCCGATCGACACACCGATATGCAGTATGTGGTGGGATTTCTAGTCGCAACTGACGTTTATGACATGCTGCGTCATGATGCTATGGCCACAGTATGAGCTGAGCCACAGATTGACCAGATGAGTTGTCTATCAACCTTGTCTCAGTTCTGGTGTTGGAATTGCGTGGCACAGTACTGTGCTAGTGGCCATCATCGTCAGAAGTTTGCATGCTGGCGTTAAAACAAGAATGACCAGGCCAATGCTAAGAGAGGAGTAGCAACAGTGGTGGAAGCAACGACAAGTGGAAACACTGATGCGCAGAGGCTTCAGAAAATAATATGCTCAGAATCCTGATAGTCACCATCATCATGATAAATCATCATCGTCATCATCATCACCACCACCATCAATATCAACATCACCATCATCGTCATCATCATC